AATAAATAATATAAATAATATAAATAATACATAAGATAAAATAAATAAAATAAAAATTTTAAATAAGTTAAAGAAACTAAAACTATTAATAATACTAATTTTAACAATATTTTATGATACAGTAAGATTAACTTCATAAGTATTAATACTTTATATCTATTAAATCTTTTAAACCTTTTACTTATAAAATAAAATCAAATTTAGAGTTAATTATCAAATTTATCTTAGAGCATTTTTTATTTTTTCAATAAAAAAATTATAGCAGTTATAAAATATGTGATAAATAGTATTCCTTCAACTGTTTTATCTACAAATTTATAAGTAATTTTATTTTTAATTACAATTTTTTTTAATTATTTTTAAATATTTTAAATATATTATTAAAAAAAAATTAATACTTTTATAATAAATTTTATGATGTTTTATAAGTAAAAATTAAAAAAAAATGTAATTAACTAGTGATTTTTTAAAGAATAATAAATTATAAATTATTATAAAAAAAATTAATATTTTAAACTCATATATTTTGCTATCTATTAATCTCAAAAATATAAAATATTACCATTTAATAGGTCTTAATATGATGAATCTAATAAACTAAATTTTATACTTTTATAATTTTTTTTAAAGACATGGTAATACAATATTTTTTATAAAAATCAAGTTTAGTATGAAATACATGAAAATCCTAAGATAGATATAAAGTAAAAAAATAAAAACTGCTGCTTAATATTTCTCATTAGAAAACTAGCTTCTACCAGACCAACCAGTTGTCCTATCTAATTTTGATTGTAAAGGTTAACTGAACAATTATCAATATTATATTGAATGAATAGAAATAATAGAATAACTGGTTACCACTAGTCCAAGAAGAAAGACCCAATGTTAACCATATTTGTAAGAATTATTAATTAAATTAAAATAATCTAGATTATCTGTGTTATTAAAAATTGTATATTAGAAAAACTATTAATGAAAAAGTTAATATTGGATGAAGCAAAATTGCTCTTGTTTTATCACTTAGTTATATGTAAGGATTTTTCTTTGATTGATGTTAAATCATATCTAGTTTTTATATATTATTATATGTTTAATCAAAAACAAAATTGAAAAAGGAAAAAAGGATAGAAGAAGTAGTAGAGAATGATTTGGTAAATGTTATTAAGGTAAATGATAAAAAGGTAGAAACAATACCTTTAATAATATCAATAAAAGAGAAGTCATGTGAATTTGCTTGTAATGACCAGATTGAATGTGAAAGATTTAAAAGATTATTAATATTGTCTGCAAATTCAGTTTTTAAAGTGTAAATGAATAATTGTAATTTTAAATGAGCAATGAAATCAGAGATCAAGAATCGCATATATTGTTTGATATTAGAACAAAGTTAAAGGTAATTAAAGTCTTCATTATGACTATTACAATGGCAATATTTTTAGAAAGATAAATATAACTGAGGTTGAATGACATTTATAAATTAAACTATTAAAAGTTGCTTAAGAAGAAATTTGAGTTTTTTACTATGTCTTCTTATTTCATTAAATAATGTAATAGATGCTGATCCAGTTTGAATGAATTGAAATGTCAGAATCTAATTTACTTATAAGTGTTGATATTTGATATTACGTTTAAGGTGATAATAATCAGAAAAATGTTTAATATTAGTATAATCTTTTAAAAAAGAATGTAAGAGGTGATGTATAAGTATGTGATATTTAAGTATATAATTAATAAAAGGGATATAATCTAAGAATAAATTTAAGGGAGGATAAAGAAGAGAAAATTTTGCTAATTAATCAGCCTTATTATTATATGAATTATTAGAGTAAAAAGCAACTTTAAAGAGTGAAATAGTAATTTATTGTTCTTCAATAATTTTAAAAATAATAGACCAGAAAATGTAAAAGGGAACTTTGAATATAAGTGAAGGATATTGAAAAATATTTGTTCTAATAATATAATTATATATATAAATAAAGGTTAAGCTATCTGTATGAATTGAAATTGAAGAGGATGAAGGACTAATTAAGAAGACTAGAAGGAGGGCAAAAATTTCAGCATTGGTAGAGTTAGCCCAGACTGCAGAAATAGCAGTTGAGAATTCTATGTCTAAAAATCATGTATCAGATAGAATACAGAATTTAAATATAATGTAAGAGGTGAAAGAACAAATTTGTAAGAACCATCTGTATAAAATATTAGGAATCTTTTATTTTGGAGAACTCAGTAAAATTCCGGTAAGGATAAACTAATACTATTATTTAAAAATAAATTAGAAATAATAATAAAAGGTAGAGCACTAAGAATAAGATTATTTGGTATAATAGTAAAAGAATGTACTGTCAAATAGTGTTATTTTGCTTAATCAATAATTGATCATTTCTTTTAAGAAGGTATAATTTGTTATCATTAACAGAGGAAAAATAGTTAACTTTTATTATTTGAGAAAGGTTATTATTAATAACGTTACTACAGAGCCAAGCAGTAACTGATGTATTAAAATTAAAAATAGGTTTCATTGAGTTAAAAGAATATTCTGAATATAGAGTAAAATGATTTTGTTTTTTGGATACTGATCTAGGATCGTGATTAAGAACTAAATTATTAATATAGTATTGTATAGCAACTTTGTTAGAAATAAAGTAAGATCTGATAGCTTTTCTAATAATGCCTTAGCTAGGATAAGGTAAATTGTAATAATTATGTTCTGGTGGTATTCACAGAGCTATCTAGAGAGATTTTTTTTCATTGTTAAAGGTGGAAGTAGTAATGTAGCTTTGAGAGATAAAATTATTAATACAGTATTCAGGTTTGAGATAGTTTAAATGTATAAGGTTTAGAAAAACAACTTTTTGTAAAGCAATAAACTATCCTGAAATAGCTTTTTTATTAGAATTACTGGTTTTGAGAGAAAAATCATAATATTCTATTAGAAAATTGTCTTGAGTAATGAATTGGTCAAGAAATAAAACTCTACATCTTTTTAGCGAAGGGATCCATTTTTTTTTCCATATAATGAGAGAGTTGAAAGCTTTGAAACCTCCTTGGATATGAAAATCAGAAGCAGTGAAAACAGTTATATACATCAAAAAAGAGGACTGAAGATAAAGGGTAAGTATATTACAAAAGTAATTATTATGTCTCACATTTTTTAGTTGTATTGATTAGCATGTAATAGAGTCATCTGATAATCAGAAAAAATTTTAGAGTTGTTTGAAACAGATTTTAGTAGTCAGAGAAAGCAGTGATCTTAAAGTGTCTCTATTAATAATTAAAGTAAAATGTTGTAATTTGAAATGCAATATATTAGAAGCTAAATCATTAAATCTAAATGATAACTTATTTAAAAGTATGCTATTAGAAGTACATTGTTGAATTTAAGTTTATGTTTAATAAATAAACGAATGTGAGAGAATAGAGCAAAGCATTCTTTGTGTGAAAAATAATTAGTTGAGAGTGATATTCAAGCTAAGGAATAAGTACTTGATTGCAGAGGTATCTCAGTTATTTATCTATCATAGGTTTAGTGTTGAGTTTCAAAATAAAGTCAGTAATCTCATTTTCTAGTTATTATTTCACAAATTTTTTATTGTAAAGTGCCAAAATTTAGACATTCAAATATTTAATCGATTCATTAAATTTCTTGATTAAAATGGTTACTGGACTATTTAAATAAGTGCTGTGAAAAGAAATATCATTGATGGTAGCTTCAGAGGTAACTATAAAAGATTTTTCCAAATTAACTTGTATTGAGTTGAGGTCAAAGAAAGACTGTGCTATGTCAAAAATGTCTTTAAGTTTAGAGTAACTATCAGTGATCTATATAGTGTTATCCATGTATACTGAATTTAAAATAGAGGTTGAAATATGATTTGTATTCAGTTTATTAATATTTGAAGACTATGAGACATCTAATATATAACCTAAATTGAACTTTTATATACAGAAGAGAAGATGATCATAATAGATAACTTAAAAAGTGAAAAAATGATCTCTTCTTAGTTAATACTAATGAGAACATTATAAAACTCAGTATTATTATATAAAGTGAAAACACTATTTTTCCTATTTAGAAACAAATTAATGATAAGTATTATGAAAGAATCTGGAATTTTTAGTCAATATAGAGCTTTTTTTAACATAAAAATATTAACTCAATCGTAAGCTTTTGACATATCTTGAAAGAGTATGTATAAGTCTGATTTCTGATACTCAGTCATTTTTTTTTTAACTGGTGAAATTCTAAAATATTATTAACTATGTGCAGAGGTTCAAGTATTGATTAGTGTGATAAGCTAGCAAAGTTTAGTTTTTTGATAATCTTATTTTTAATGAATATATCTTGTAGCTGTTGATTCTGTAACTTGATAAATGCTTTTCTGACTGTTTCAAGTAACGTAATTGGTCTAGTATTATTAAGTTGACATTTTTATAGCTTAGGCTTCAGTATAGGATATATGAAAGCTAAATTTCATTATATTGAAGTATAATTATTGATTAGACATGCACAGATAATATTATTAGAAAAATGGAAACCGTTTGAAATCCATCGCATCATACAAGAAAATTATATATATATTTTTTTTAAAAAAATTAATGCTTAACTGGGCTTTAAGAGCTCTAAGAGAATGTTATAACGGATATAGTAATAATACACAAGTTTCATTTCAAAAACTATTGTATTATTATAACATTTAGTTATAAGAATTTTAATAAAATTAAATTTCGCCACTGTAAATTGTTTTATAATAAAATTAAATTTCACCACTATAGATCGTTTTACATGTAAATCAGAATCATGTGATATTAAAATTTGCGTGGTATCATTTTTTGCTTGCACGTTAAATTATGATCATTTTTGCATACATTTTCAATCATTGTTTTATATTTATTACTACTGCAACTTATTAATAAATTTCACAATGTCTAATTACAATATGGTAAGAAGATGTGATAATGCTTATTGCTTATTGCATTTTTTTTCTATTAATAAAATAATAATGTACTTTGAGCATGTAATTTCAAATGCATTTCCTAGAATGATAAAGAGAATGTAAATGATGCAAGGGCAGTGCATTTTTTGCGTTATTAGGGTAAGAAGCGGAAAGTTGTTAAAGAAAATTATGAGAAACATGAGACACGTTTGTCACGTGATAGGGCTAATAAGAAGCGGAAGGCAGCTGAGAAAACTTTTGAGAAACATGAGACACGTTTGTTATGTAATAGGAATAGAAAGCATGAGATGCAGCAGAAAGTTGAAGAAACTCATGAGGAACTTGAAGCACGTTTGGTGACTGAAGAGGAGACACATCATGCTTGTGCGCGTGAAAAATATCAACTAAGAAAAGCTAGAGAAACTCCCAAACAACGTGTTGCAAGAATCACTCGGTCTAAGTCAAATGTACGTCAAAAATGTGCTTTGAAAAGTGTTTTACCTTCTGATCAGAATCTTCTACGTAAATTTTGTGATGCAATTAACAAGCTCAAAAATAATCTCTATAATACGTGCAATAAGCGATTTTCAACTATTTCACTTGTTGGAGAAGAATGCCATCAATGTTATAGTGAAAAGAGCAATCCTAAAGATTCTCTGCTGAAAATAATATGGATCCAGGTAAGTCAACTAAATCAACTAAATAATATTCGATTTTTCTTAAAATAAAGGATTCACATTTTTCTAGATAAAGTTTCACAAAAACTTCAGAACTTAACAGATATAGAAGAAATGCTAATCTCGCAAATAGTTTCTGTTGTATCAGTGTACAAACTTCCTGGAAGACAATATGCATATTGGAGAAATGTCATTAATTTTCCATAAGATGTTAAGAAATTTGTAATGCACCTTTTACATGATCCATCATCGTTAAATTTGCTTATTGTTTGATGTTATACTAAAAATAGATCCAATTTTTGTGACTTTCAAGTTCATCGGGAAAAAATAATGCATGCTCTCCAGTAGTTGAAAGCTAACAATATATTCTATCGTGATATTGATATTGATGATAATATATTGCAAGCATTGCCAAAAAATGGCTTAATTGCAAACCAACTTTCACATTTCATTGATAATGAAGAAAATTCAAGTGAAAACTGTACAGATTATATTGAGGATGATAACGAAAGTGATGAAAACTACTTTTCACAAACATTTGTTCCTTTATTATCTACAAAACATAATGAGGATAGTACAATTAATGAAATTCTTAATCGAATGAATGAAAATCTAACAATTGATTAGCCATGTAATAAAGTTCTTCCCGTTGATGAATTTCATACTCCTGGATATATGGTACGAGCATTCCCTACACTTTATCCTTGGGGTAATTCAGATTTCAATGATTGCTGAGTAAAAGAAGTAAACTAGCAGAATACTTTAAACATCTATTAGTTTACAAAGATGGCCGGTTTGCTCGTCATTCGTGATAGTGTTATTTTGCATTAAATACATTTATGAGATAGAGAGCATTATCAGAAGATCGCATATTTGTAAAACAGAATTTAGAAGAAGGGCAACTTACCGTGGCTAAAATCTTAGATTTAATGGAAAGTGATGCTCATATAGTAGACAAAGAGTTGCGGTATGGTGAAGGATTACGTGATACTTGTCAATATTGGATGTACCGAGAGCTGATTTAACAGACATGGTAAAACAAATAGGATCTCAAGGAATGATATTTTTCACGTTTAGTGCAGCCAATATGTACTGGTCAGATTTACATAATCTCATGCCCAATGGAGAAAATCCTATAGAGGGGAGACAACTCAGGAGGCTGCTAGACGTCAACATAAAGACCTTATCGATAATCCTCATATTGCGTCATAGTTTTTTGAAAAGCGGTTTAAAATTTTTTTTGAAAAAGTCTTAATTCCTAAATGGGGTTTAATTGATTACTGGTAGAGCTTCGAACAGGTCAGTTCAGGTCAGGTCAATCAAGTTACCTGAACTGAGAGGATCAGGTCAGGTCAAACAAAAATCTGACCTGATTTAAATTTTCATTTGACCTGACATGACCTGACCCGACCTGATCGAATTATAATAAAACATTATTTTTAAATGATAAAATCATCGTTCTTGAACGATAAAATCATCATTCTCAAATGATAAAATCATTGTTCTTGAACGATAAAAAGAACGATAAGACCATCATTCTCAAAAGATAACGAATCGTTTTAATTGAATGATAAAACATCATTCTCGAACGATAAAACATCATATTTGAACGATAAAATCATCGTTCTTAAATTATCGCCAAGAACGATAAAACCATCGTTCTCGAAAGATAACGAATCATTTTAATTGAACGATAAAACCATCGTTCTCGAAAAATAACGAATCGTTCTAATTGAATGATAAAACATCGTTCTCGAACGATAAAACATTGTTCTCGAATGATAAAACATCATTCTTGAATGATAAAACATCATTCTCGAACGATAAAACATCATTCTCGAACAATAAATCATCATTCTCGAACGATAAATCATCGTTTTTGAATGATAAAATCATCGTTCTTAAATTATCGCCAAGAACGATAAAACTATCGTTCTCGAAAGATAACGAATCATTCTAATTGAACGATAAAACATCATTCTCGAATGATAAACCATCGTTCTTGAATGATAAAAATATCGTTCTCGAATGATAAACCATTGTTCTTGAATGATAAAAATATCGTTCATGAATGATAAAACCATCGTTTTCAGACGATAAACCCATCGTTCTCAGATGATAATAAATCGTTCTAATTGAACGATAAAACTAACGTTCTCAGATAATAAAATATCATTTTCAGACGATAAAAACATCGTTCTCAAATGAAAAAACTATCGTTCAAGAATGATAACAAATCATTCTAATTGAACGATAAAATTTTATTCAAGAACGATGATTGGTTGACCTGAATTTTGTCAGGTCAGGTCGGGTCAACCTGTTGACCTGACCTGACATTAAACTGAAAACCTACTGACCTGACCTGGATTTTCAGGTCAGGTCAGGTCAGATAAACAGGTCGACCTGACCTGATTCGGAGCTCTATTATCAGTACTTAATTTATAGTACTATAAAGTCTCCATAAAGTCTTCATTCAAAATCTTATGATAAAGTTCTGCTTCAAGCTTACCATCTATTTTACAAAGATAACCTATATCACAAGATGTAAAACATTCTCATACAAAAACAATTCCATCACCAAACTTAACAGTAAGTTTAATATGAGTATTTTAAAGAGTTCTCCTATTTTTTTCCAATAATACTTACATCCATCTGAACTAAATATTTGAAATTTGAACTCATCTAACCATACAATCTTGCTTTATTCATTTATTGTCCAATCCTTATATCTCTTTGCAAATTTAAGGCGTTTTTTATGATGTTTTTTTTTGATAAAAGTGGCTTTTTATGCTTTAATTGAGCTACTAAACCATTTCTTTTCAAAGCTTTATGAACAAAGTTAGTGCTGACTTCAATATTATTAGAAGTTTTTAGTGATTTTTAGAGTTAAACCGCAATTGTACATTCCTTTATCATTAAACATCTTATAAGAGAACGTTTATTTCGCTCATTCAGTTTTTTTGGATGATCTGAACCTAGTTTATTTTCAAATTTACCAGTCTCTTCATACTTTTTTTTAAGTTTTGAAATGGTTGTATGACTTTACAACTAACTTTAGCGACAATTTCTCTTAAAGCAAAGCCATTTTTAAATAATATAATTGCTTGTGCTCTCTGTTTAGAAGTTAACTGAACCTTAAAATAATAATACAAAAAAAGGTTTTTAAAGGAGTGTGAGTATGCGAAAGGAAGTGTTTATTATAAAATTTATTATTAATAAATAAAAAAAAAATTTTTTATTTGATTTTTATTTTTTTTTATCAAATGATAAAAATAACACATCATGGTTTTGAAAAAAAATATATATAAATCAATCTATGTAATACAAAAAAGAAATCTAACTATATTTATTTTAAAGATCTACATCTGTATTACTTATTTAAAAAATATAAATTAAAACAAATTTATTGTTGATTGTAAAACATATGACTAGTAATAAGCAGTATAGTGATGCATTTTTTTTGGAAGCTATTGTATATACTATAAACGGAAGTATGCAGAAGGAAATTGGCTTAGATCAAGCTAAAGATGTTTGGAATTAATTTGCTAAAGAGGTAATTAAACATATCTATTTCATAAGTACTAATCAACTATTATCAGTTTCATAAATGTTAATTTCGAGAATTAGTATTCAAGAATCGGTCATTCTTAATAAAGTACTTAACCTTTTAATGGGATACTAGATCAAAACTAATGGTAAGCTATTTCAGAAGCTGATCTATGAAGGTTACAGATGCGCTAATAGACTTTTAGATTATTTAGAAGATATTGGAACTATATCTGTTGGTGAATTCGAATTAAATCCTTTAGCTGACTTTTACCACTCAGCCTTAATTCTACCCTTATCTATCTTAGCAGAAAGAGCAGATATTCACGAAAAATTTATTATTAGCATGGAATTCACCGTTATAGGAGGAGTGAGTTTATTTACTCTCGAAAAAAATAAACATTTCTTACTTCAAAATTTAATACAAAATAATTATTTTAGTAATAACTTGTCTGTATTAATAGAAATAACTTAGGAGTGTAAAGAGACGAAAACTTGAAGGGATGACTTATTCGTGAAATTTTTTCATCACCCAAATTTAGCTCCTGCAAAATATAGACTAGGTACCTTATATAATGTGTTTTCTAGAACGAATGTTTTGAGACTGGAGCATATCTTAGCTCTAGCATGAATATTTTACTAAATATTACTATAACATTTTGATTTTAGATCATTCATAGCCTTAGAATGGGGGTTCTATGACTATATATTTTTTTGCGCTTATTCTATCTACCTGCAAATTTCAAATCAATGTAAATCCTTTTTTTCTTATAAATAAATTATTTTTTTGTCAAAATAAAAACTTTGTGAACTAAATTCATAAAGTAGAATCACGTAAATTTTTTATTTTGAATGTAAATATATAGTGTATAAAATTATTTTTGAAAATGACATCTGAGATTGACTTACTTAAGCAAGAAAACGTCAGACTTATAGCTGAGAATGCTGAATTTAAGGCTAAGTATGACGAGACCAAGGATGAGATTACAAAGCTAAGGGTTGAGCTCAGAAATAAAATTGAGAAATTAGAAAAAGCTAGAATAGATACTGCCGTCGAGAATACTAGACGTGATGTTGAAAATGTCAGGCATGATGCTGAGAATGCTGAGCTTAAGGCTAGAATCGCAAAGTTAGAAGAAGATTCTAGACATCTGCGAAAGGATTTTTCTTCTGAAAAATCTGCTGACATATCAGACTTCATAATAGTAAATGAAATAGTATCTGCCAATTCAAAATTATCAGAGAACAAGACAATGGACTCTTTCCTAAATGAGATGAATAAGAAAAGAGTTAGTGATGAAATTAGGCAGAGAAAGTAGAAGGAGAAGCTTGTAAAAGTAGAATCTATTTCACCTGAAAAAGATAAGCAGGTATCAGTTGACAAAAGGGTACTTCGTAAGAAAAATTGATAAAACAAAGAGAAAAATTCATTCAGGAAGTATCTGAGAAGGCAGTTACTAAAGTGATTGATACTTTCAGTATCTTTCCAAAGAGAATTGGATACAAGCACCAATTGTTTCAATATTATAGATGAGTCAGGCTCGAATTCTTTGAATGTTTGCCTAAAGAAAATAATACGAAACTATGATCCTTTAGCAGTAAAAATGGAAATGCTAACCTTTTCTCTTTTGTATGAAAAACTTTGTGATGCTATAATTCTTGCTGATTGTGCAACCTAAGAATCTATCTTTTATTACTATCAATTTGGGAAAGCTCTTATCCATAGACGAGGTGAGATCGCATCTAAAAAACAAGTTGATTCAAAATCTAATACAGTTAGTAGAATTCTAAATATAGAAGTTAAAGTTCAGCTTCCTGCAGGTACTTCTGATGCACTTTTACGGAAAAGAATCTAGCAGGCTAAGAAGCTCTATACACTTTTTAATGTAATAGGTATAGATAAAATAAATCGAATTCATTCTTTCTTCGCTGATTCTATCTCAAAAATGATGTATGAAGACATCTGGTATATTATAGACAATATACCTTTTGATTATAGCATTCATATAGAGATACAACTTTGTGAACAGAATTCACAAAGTGATAAAAAAAATTCTGACTTATCACATATCACCAGTTCAGATGCGTCTACTAAATCTCAGGTTCCCAATGAATCTACCCTGAAAAAATTTGATACCAAAGTAGAGGTGATATCACCTATTTCTCAATTCAATAGTCTAACTTATGACCGCAGTGATTTTTGTAACAAGACATTAGATTAATATCCCAATTTATATAGAGAATATAGTAGTGAAGACTTTGATTATTATGACATTACTGATAAGACATTATGCCTATTATGCAAGTTAGATCATGATGATGAGGAAAGCATAAAAGATAGATATAAAACTGGATCCTATTTTATTAAGTGTGAACAGTGTAAAATTAAGATAATTGTATAGTCTCATTATTTTACAATACTGTATATTTGCTTACATTTCATTGTGATATTGTTTTTTACAGAACTAATCTACATTGACTATACTTACTATAATTTAAATTGATTTGTAATCATATAAAAAGACAATATGACTAAGTCCGATAAAGTATTAACCTCTGAATATCTAGATTGACATGTCAGATTAAGTGGGTTACCAAGTATTTTGACAGATAAAATTTGCTCTAAATTATATAAAACATATAAGAAAGAAACTGAAAATAAGCCATGATAATTACCAAAAGCTGTGATAAATATATCAGCAGAACCTCAAGCCTCTGATTTCAAGCCTATCATCACCTTCGAAGCCAGACCCAATTTAGAATTAATTATCAAATCTGTCTTAGAGTACTTTCCATACTTGAAATTTGGAAATAATTTCAGAGAGATTGATAATTATAATTTTACATCATCTTAGCTATAGATCATGTCCTATTTGCAATGAAAATCATGAGAATTATGGATTACATGACTCATGGTACTGCAAAAATAGGAATCAGCTCCCTTATGATCCTGAATTAGTGAAATTCTATTCTCAAGATAAGTTGGAATATTGTCTTATCTTCAACACTTCAAGCAATAAATTCAAATTCACAATTGTAGCATAGAAGCTTTATCATATACTCTCACACTTATATTTATTTTTTTCATCGCTCATTAATAAAGTACTATGAATAATCTTCACGCTTATGTCATTTCCTAGGGAATGATATTCTGTACACGTTTCCTTTTTTTGGACATTTGGTAAGAAATATAATTCCGGCCAGAATTATGTTTATAATTTTGCATTTCCTAAATGAATGAGTTAAAAATCCTATGACATATTTCTGGCCTTTCTCTAAAAAAAATGTGGTCTTTAACAACTATTTCAACTAGAATGGAAACTTCTGTCGCTCCTGTCTACATTAGTATGTCGAATAGCGAAAAGATGTCATTTCATATTTTTTTTTTACATATATTTTGTTAAGCTAGAAGTTCTGAACCTTAAATATAATGACGAGAAATGCTTTAGTAGCAGTGATAGTGAAATGTAATTAATAGATATTATTAACGATTGATTCCAGATAATTAATGAAGAATAGAAGAAGCAAAAGCAAATGGTCAAGATGTAAATGTAATTGAGATCGCTTTACCTCCTATTAATTCCAAACATTATTTGAGCATATTGGAAGATATCCATAATGCATTAGATCATGTCGAAAGAATCAGGACAATTTTGTTTATTACTACGATACAATTATATCTTTTTCTCTTTCTGCGGAAGGAGCAGTTATTTTTTCACCACTACACTTCAAGGAGGGTTCTAGTCAAACCCTTAATTTTATTTTAATAAAAGTGGACATTATTTTTTTGTTTTGTAATAAGGTAACTGTCATCTGGATTTCACGAGAGACTACAATGGGTAAAATCGTAGAATGGATCAAAAAGGAGGGAAATAAGAAATCTAATTTTCTAGTTAATGATAAAATTCGGGAGCAGATGTTTGCTAAAGCAAACTAGTATTATGGAGGTCAATATCAAACTTTTTAATGGTATTGGGGTCTAGGGGTAAACATATGATAGATTGTTAAAACTTTTCTGCACCGTCTATTATGTCAATAAGGCCACTGCGCCAAATTTTTCTCAAGTGTTAACACAAATCTCGGTTTATCAATTGGTGGAGACTTGATCACTTGATATGCTAATCATCTGATGATATAAGTAAGAAAGAAATTTATACATCGAAAAAAAAATTTCGCAACTATACTGCACTTCAATATGTCCGATATGTCCAATACCCGAGTTTCATATTCTGGCAGAACAGGCAAGCATAATAGTGTACAATTGGAAAAGGCTTTCTTTTATCTTAGGTATTAATCATGTTTTACTTTTGATAGTCTTAACAACATATTTAAAAGAGTGCGACCCTAACATCTGGTCATACGTTGAATTTTTAATTCTAAATCGCACTACAATCATCAATTTACCTCTATTTAATATTAAATGGACTTCTCTCGAAGGGCACTTGGACTAGACGATTTTTTCAAGAAGCAAAAGAACTAGACCCTGTATTAGCCGATACACTGAAGGCAAAAGTAATTTTATTTTAATATAGTTAACGGTAGGGCCTCCTGACACGTCTCTACTTGAATCCGGAGATTTTCAGCGCTCTCTCTGTTCCAAGTGATGGTGGGGAAATTCCTGGTACGTCTCTACTTGCATTTTGGAACATCATGACTCTTCCTGATCCCTACCATTCGTGACCTGCCCTGTTTTTTATATTGTCAAAGCTTATACAGTCAACTCTTGATATAACGAACTTTTGATATAACGAATTTTTTGAACAAATATAATAAAAATACTCTTGTTATAGCGAATTGACCAATAAAATCTCTTAAAATCTTCACTATAGCCTTATAGCGAAGTTGAGGTCTAGAACATAGAGTTCGTTATAACAAGAGTTGACTATACTAACTATGCAACAGGTTAAATCTGAACAAAGTATGAAGGATTATTGGGAAAAGATGATCATCGAACAGAAGGAGGTTAGTTAAGCCAATTTCTTTTTATATTTATTTTGTTATAATTAATTTATAATTATGCAAAACAGCAGTCGGTAAAGCGTACACACTTCGCCGGTAGTTTTGACTTGCTAGATGATGCTTGAGAGTATAATATTCAGAAATTACGCTCTCAAGGGTTTAATGAAGATGTGTCCAAGGAGGTGAGATTACTTACAAGTTATCATACGTTAAGGGAACAGGCACAACTTACCACATACATTCTGTGTATGCTCTTACACAATATTTTTTTCATGGCTTAGGAAGGAGAATCTTCAACTAAAAAAGTATCTCGAAAAAGAAAATCAGTGAATTATAATGAAGACCAGATTCATCTAGTTTGGAATATTAAGAGAAATCAAAAAAGGTTAACAACACTATGCAAATTATGTTATTTTGAAACTTAATGATGACCTTTTATGATTCAGCCTAAAAGAAAATCCACCAAGTCTGTAAATAACATTGACGATGATAACAAGATTACAGATGAACAAATAGCCCATTTCGATCGCATTTTCCATGACCTAGACCCAGAAAAGATGTGAAAACTTAAATCTGAACGTGTTGTTGAGGAAGTAATTCACGAACACGCAAGAAATTTGAAATATGAGTCTTATCTACATTCCTTTATCATCAGCGATGTTGATGAAGAAGCAAAGTCATTGTTTCGAAATGAAGAATGGGAAGAGATATTTTCTTCAAACTGCAAAAAAATGCCAAAAATCGGTTATAGAGCTTATAAAAAGATATTTGCTAACTGATCTATCTTCATTTCGAAAAATCATTTTTGAGTCTTTCTTACCTACTAACACTTCATACTCCAACAAGAAACACTTTGACTTGGATTATGTAAATCTTGTGTATTGTGCCATATATACACTCTGGGGAGATGATGACGATTTTATCTTAGATCCATTAAGGTAGGAGGGATGGTATCAACACATCATATGGAGTCTTATTATTGATCCAGCATTCCATAATTCAAGGATTAATTTGATACGTGGAGAAGGTATGAGCATGGCGTCTAGTGATAGAAAGAACGATATAAGTTGTGACGTGGATCAAAAAATGATTGGCAAGAAAAGGGATGGGACTTCATCTAGTGATAGTTGTGGTGTAGATCGAAAAAAGATCGGTAGAAAAGGGGATGGGATTTTTAGGTTGAAAAGTGATAGGTTAGAATTTGGGGGCATTAAAGCGAGAAGAAAGTGGAAAGATAAGAATGGAAGAAAATATATCACTGACAGCCTAAAATGTTAAGAGATATGTTAGTAGTGCTTATAACGAAATGCAAAGGCAATGAACAAATTGCTAGACAATTACAGATCGTTGGAATATTACATAGTGCCAATCGATTTCAACTCCTAACTATGGACGTTCCAAAGGGATACGTCTATCGGACTTAACGTCTTGACTTTTATGAAGTAGTTGGTCGTATAAATGATCCACCATTAGCATTCGTGATAAAGGATGTATTAAGGGCAAAGGCAATCATTATGCGGACATTGAGGTTGGTGCAATAAGGAAAGACACCTAATCTTAATAACCTTGATAACTCGAACGATGATAATAAAGTTGAAAGACCAAACCGATGTACAACTTCTCTACCTATGACTTTACCTTTGACTTTCAAGACTCCTAATACAATACGTAGTAAAGATGTAATTAATAAAAGAAGAAAAAGTAAATAGCTTTGGTGTGTACTTAGTTTTAGAGTTAAGTTACATAATGTATTTTATATATAGGGAGAATCTAATTAAGTCATGAAGTGCTCCGTAATAAAAACATTTACTGCGCCATTCACGTTACGTTATGACCAAAATTTATCGTGCATATTATTAATAAAGCTTGGCTAATAATTTTTTTAACGTGTTATAGGCATCAGATTAATAAAAATGTTTATGCCAGTTTCTTATACATAATAGCGTTTAAAAAAATGGCAAAGTGATCTGCATTCCAAATTGGAACAGACACGTGATTTTTTATTAACTTGAAGTATAGCATAGTAACTTCGTCATGTGAAAGTGATCACTGAAATGCGAGAGAGCTCAGTTAATACGGAAGCGATCACTGTTGATGAAATCAATATTGGCCCAAGTCCTTAAAGATAAATTTTTTACAAATAAAGGATGCTGATGATGTTGCGACTATCTCCTGTAAGGTGTGAGGCATAACTATACCTATGTAATAATTGATAGTGGATCAGACTCCTCAATTATTTCAGAAATATTGCAAAACATTTGGGTCTAAAAATAGATAAGAAAAGTTTCACAGACTTAATGGAGTCGTAAGTAAGTCCCATTCCCTTGGTACAGTTGATAGTATTCCTGTAACTATTGAGGATAGGGAAAATAGAGACACTATTCCAGATGAATTCTCTGTTGTCCCTATAGATTATGATGATAGTGGAAAAGAATTATCCCTATTTATTCTTGGGACACAATAGCAATATCATGTAGGATGGGAACCCTTAATAAAGGGGAAATTTAAGGCAAGCTGAAACGGAAAGACTATCACTATTCCTTATCAGTTCACAAATCTCAGCGTAATGTTTTTACCATAGAAAAGGAAAGGTTTCAGGCAGAAGAATAGTTTTCTATAGAGCCAAAAAAAAACTAGATGATTGGGCATGTATGTATTGTGGAAAGGAATTCAGATATCCTTATTTATTTTTACGTCATAAAAAAGCTAAATGCTGGATTAATAGCGAGTCTACAATGAGTCTACAATAAGACAAAGTCATGTTTACATTGAATAATGTTAAGTCTATAATGAGTCTACAGCAGATCAATGTCAAGAATACAATGAGTCTACAATCAGATAATGTCGAGTCTACAATAAGTCTACAACTAATCAATGTTAGGTCTAAAATTAAACTAGACTAATCATCTTAGACAGGTTTTCGAAAAGTGTATATTTTTCAAATATTTAGATCATTCTTTGCATCTTCCCGTTTTCTAGCCCAATATTTGGTATCATGAAAAAAAATAAATGTATTTGGTTCAATTGTCCCATCCCTTTCAGCACTAGGATTGAAGAATATTACTCGATTATTGAGAGCTATAATTTTTAGGTCTTTAATAAAAATAATATTCTTCAAATTTTATATATAGACTTAGCGGTCTTCTTTATATCCCATTTTTCATTCTTAAGCTAGGAAATAGTAGAAGATAACTTGCCGATCTCCTTATCTTTTACAGCATTAGCTTTATCTAAAGTAGAAATATGAGATTTATATTGCTTCTCTAGCTCAGCTAAGCGTGAATTATGCTGACCCTTTAGTTAATACTTAAATGAATATAGTTTCTATTGCATATCTACCATGCAATTATTATATTTACTCTCTAGACGAGACTTAAGAGTATCATATTCATCTTTTAGATATTTGCATTCTTCAGTAATCCGAGTCTCAATAGTTTTCTTAATATTATTCTCCTGTTGCTGTACACGAAGCTCACATTTCTCTAATTGTTTTTCAAATCTATCTTACTGGAATAATGTACTAGAACCATCAGAAGAAGTATTTGCTACAATCTTAATCTTCTGGCGATTTTTTTTGTTATAATATCTATTAACCTCCTTAGTAAACAACTCCTAAATGTTCAGATGAATACTACTAACCTGCTCTGAGAATAATGATCTATTTTTGCAGTTTGTAAGGTGTAACTATACATTTTTTTTCATGGATAGGGATAATTGGTTAAGCAAATTCTTATAGTATTCGTTGAAATTTGATTGGCTAGACATATGTTCGATTAAAGATAAGTGATATAGTTTTGGAAAATTCTCAGAAAAAAATATTTCAGGAAGTCTAGAAATTTGAAAATTTAGGTATTTCATTTGTTTCCAGCAAAACTTTTCATCTAAAAATTAACCAAAAAATTTACTGAAGCCTAGATTCCAGGAAAAATACTAATATTCTCAGAAAATTCCTCCTAAACAATTGTGATTTTCATTCCATCATCTAATTTTAATACTGGCCAATTAAGATAGTTTATAGATAGTATTAAGTTATTTTGTTTTACATATAGAGACGAGATAAATATTTCACTTGTATTACTTTTGCAATTCGATGATTGATAAGAAGTTGGTGAAATCATTTCTTTTCTGGTAGGTGGAATACAAGCTGGCTTAAAATTTAAAGCACTTGCCTAGTATTTTTTGCTATAGTTGTAGTCTCAGCCTTGAAGCATGAGTAATTCCAATGATCCTTCATCAAATCTTCAGACTTAACTTCATAGCCTATCTGCCCCAACTACTATAATATTCTTTTCTAAGCTCTACTTTATTCTGCAGACTTTGTAAACATTATATTCGCCTTAGAGGTTAGACTTAGAGGTGAGATTTAATATATTCATTCTAGAGGTGAGATTTAATGACTATATATTTATATAAAGAAAATGCTTCTAAAATGGTTTCCTGTATATCAAAAAAATAATAATATATTAGAATTGATTCAATAATTCTTAAAATAAAAATTTGGTATCTAAATCCACTAAATCTTACCTCTTTAAGGTGAGACTTAGCGGTGATTTGTTTACAACAATGAATCAGCTTTAGAATTAATTTTAGGATAATATGAAAATATAGTATGCAAAATGAGCTTGCAAAATCTCACACAGAGTATACTCAGACACTTTAGTCTACAGTACTTTGTGTTCGATTTAAGGGCAAGCAGAATAGTATACTTTTTTCATTATATTATTTGGGATTAAAAACAGACCAGCGCGTTAACAAAGATGGTGTATATCTTGAACTTAGAAACTTAAAATTTGAATAAGAAGATATGTTAATAGGATTTAAGCTCAATTTGATTTTAAGCTTGAATTCAATATTGGATTTTGATATGTTTCCTGATCTTAAAGATTAATTTGGAGTTCAATAATGATTTCAGAAATTTTGTATACAGTCAACTCTTGTTATAACGAACTCTATGTCCTAGAACTCAACTTCGCTATAAGGCTATAGTGAAGATTTTAAG